TTTTTCGGAATGTAATTAGTTATTAACTGCATACCCTTTCCCCACCCCCACCCCCATTTTCTCACTGCTGGAAATTAACAAATTATGTGTGCCTGGAGAATTCATTGTTGAACTGACTTTCTCTGCTAATGAAGGTTGGCTGTTAATTTTATTCAATGATATTGATGGGTTGTTTACTCAGCGGAGGGTGCTGGGTGCAGCCTGAAGATACACGATGCATAAAGCCATGGTCCTGGCCCCCCAAAAGCCCCACACTCATGAAGGACACACAAACCACCTCTCCAAAGGGCAGTAAAAGTAGGTACTAACGCGGGATGCTCGCACCGTGCCAGGCACTGCCCTAACTCTCTATACAACTCCGACTCTACAGCCACTCAATCACCCTTTGGTGACTCCTGCCTCACAGACAGAGGACCTTCAGAGAGGGGAAGGGAGGGGTTGGGGGTTGCACCGCTGAGGAGTGGAGGTGCAGAGCAAAAACCTGCCTGGATGCAGGAACCACACTGGCGAACTAAGCCCTATGGGAGGCACAACTCACCCACACAGTCACCCAGTCCATTGTGACTCACAGCGACTCTATAAAACAGGCTAGACCTGGCCCTGGGGGTTCTAAATCTTTAGGGAAGCAGACAGCCTCACCTTTCTCCCTTAGCGAGACTGGTGGGTTCGAACTGCTGACCTTGCAGTTGGCAGCCCACTAAGCCACCAGGTCCCCTGGGAGTGGGGGGTGGGCTGTAATTAGTTTTGACTCAGGAAATGAAAAGTGCCTTCAAAGGGGAGCCTCACACAGAGATTAACAGGATTTCAGCAGGCAGGGATGAGACTGGGGTGGGGGGGTGGGGGAGTGGAGAGCAGATGAGAAAGAAGGCGGCTTGAGGAGGCCTAACAACAGGCAGAGAATTGAAAAGACTTGCCAGCTGGCCTCGGCCCAAGATGTCTGGCATGCGGAGACCGTGGGACATGTGCAGAAGAGTTGATTTTGAAAGCCCGTGTCTACTACATTTTAAGAAACCAGTTCTTTCTGGCTCTCTGACAGCTACACTCAAAACACTCTCTACTTTCCACAAAGCCCTTTGGTTCTTCATGGGAAACAAATACCACTTTGTTATGCAAATGCCTAGGAGTGAAAGGAAAGTACCCTGTTCAGTAGGTTATGCTAGGGCTGTGTTCAGTCAGAAGCCAGGGAAGTGCAGCTCCTTCCACAGGCCTGCAGACTGGGGCTCAGCGCCCAGCGTTGAATCCATCCGGGACTCCACACTCTCACCGCCTTCATGGAATGTGCAGTCCAGAACAGGAGCGCATGCAACCACCACGGCTGGCTTTCGCTTTCGCTTTCTCTCTCTCTCTCTCTCTCTCTCTCTCTCTCTCCAGGCGAGACAAGAGGGCATGGTGGCAGGTGAGGAGACCTGGAGGAGTGGGTTTCCAGGAGAGCATTAGCTAGTGTCTGGCCAGGTAGTTGGAGAGGAACCAAGTCAACTGTTACAGGCCCTGCTGGGTGTGGGAAGAAGACAGGAGAAGCAGCCAGGTGATGAGGCTACCGGGGTGTCAGCTTTGTGTGAACAGGTAAATGACAAGGCCAATCTCCATTCTGGATAGATCTCAGGGTAAGAGAATATTGAACCACCTGAAATGGCACCAAACCCATCCCTAGGGAGGAGACAGCTTCATCTTTCGTTCAAGGAGTGGGTGGGTGGACTTGAACTGCTGACCCTGTAGTTAGGGTTAGTAACCCAATGCCAAACGCATAGTACCATCTAGGCCCCTTTGAAATGGCATGGGTGCTGGGGCTACCCATCAAAGCAGCCTCTGCAAAGGGGAAGGCTCCCAGCAGCCCTAAGGTGCTGCCAAGTATCAATCCTTGACTGGAGAGAGGTAGGAAGATGTGGCCCTATCCCAGCATAAAGGCAAGGAGGGCCAGGGATGAAGGGGTGAAGGGCTTGGGCAACAGAGACATTTGCTAACTAGGAAGGAGGTATTTCAACATCTGTGGCAGCATAACATGTCAAGTGATGGACAGCCCTAGATAGGCAATTGAAACACTGCCCAGAGAGCACTAGCCCCAGCTGCAAAGGACTGTGATCCACAAGGTGTTCACTGGCGGGTGTTTAGAAATTGACTGCCAGGCCTTTTCTCCTTTGTTCATTGTGGGGACGCTGCTAAAACCCGTTCGGCATCCTAGCAACAGGCACACCTGGACTGATAGAGGAGACGGGGCTGCACAGGAGCTGCTGCCCTGGCTGGGAATCGAGCCTACTCTCCCACTGCACCCCCTCTGCCGCATTCCGCAGTATCTGAGGTCTGTGACTTAAGGAATCGCCTAGCGACACGGAGAGCTGGGAGGTGACAAATGGTTCAGCAAGAGATGCTGAGAGTCCAAACTGGGATGTGGAGACAGTGGGAAGAGTCGGAGAGTGAAGACCAAGAAGCAAATGGAACAGGCCCCCTTCCTGCTAACCCACATCTGCCCTTTTTACAGGTCTCACTTCATATGCCGCCATAGCTTCGGGTATCATTAACCAGCAGGCATTTAGGTTGTCTAACTATTGTTTTCAAGGGAGTTTTTTAAAAAGCACAGCAGGAAGAGTAAACATTGTCCCCAGAATCAAAACTGGAATGCAGCAGCCCCCTGAGAGACGGCTATCACCCATGGTGTTTTGCTCTGCCGACGAAGGGAGGGATTGTTGTCACTCTCTTTGGGCCCGTCTCACAAGTGTGAGCAATCGGGTCTGATATACTGGCTCTCCGGCTACAGGGTGCTGTGTTTCACAGCGATGGACCGATAGGAACCTGACAGATCTGAGAGAATCCATTTAAAGTTTGCTACTTTCTACAGGTAAGAAACTTTCCTTGCCTGGAGGGGGTAGATGGTGAAGTTGATGAAAGGTGGGGGTGTCATCATTTTTAATCCCTATCTGCCCGAACCGATCATCTAGGACAGAGAGGTTCATCCATCTGAAGCAGCCCTCAGACACACACCTGTCTCTCTCAAAGGCGCGTGCGCACGCAAGCACTTCTATGCCTTCTACGGTGAAATTATTTTTACAGAAGACACAATAAGAAGAGCTGAGTTGGTCTACAACCCTGAGAGCAGGGCCATCAAAGTCTTCCATCACAGCCACAAGAAACAGAATCATCTTGCCCACTGCCGGCTGATGATATGGTATTAAAACCGGCCCGTGTGACATTTTCACCCAGAGCAGCCCACCTGGGACAGTGGGCGACTGGACTATTTCAACAGTTTACATATCGGCTCTCTGCATGGCAATCACAGTGTAAAAGAGGGGAAATGCATCCGTTCCTTCGGTCTTCTGTTCTTTTAGTCTGGATTCAGCACCCTCAGAATACGCAGGCCACCTCGCGCGGGTGGGATCCACGATAACACATTAAAAGTAACAGTAATAATAATAAATCACCACCACTGAGTCAATTCCTAGCAGTCCTGCATAACGCAGTAGCACTGCCACTCTTGGTTCCCAAGACGCTAAACCTTTACAGGAACAGCCAGCCAGCCTCCTTTTGCTCTGCCGAGCAGCTGGTGGGTTTGAACTGCTGACTTCATGGTTAGCAGCATGTAACCCACCATGCGAGCAGAGCTCTCCATGGTAAAGCACAGAGCTATTATTAAAATGATGCAAACTACTGATTTACTTAAGGGGCAAGGCCAGAAACACAGAAGGGACTGGGTGATTGAAAACCACAAGGAACACACATACACTGCCCACCCTGTGCTACATGGGGAAATGGCAGTTGCTTTAGGACAGGGTGGCAAACGTCCGGCCCTCGTACCAAATAAGGTTAGCAAAATCATCATGATCAGCTCATGTCACATGCCCCAGCAGAGAGGGGCCGTCCCAGCCATTGCACTAGGAGTGAGTTAACTAAATGACTGGCCAGTGTGGCCCTACGACGATGTTATAAATTACCGAATGGTCTTAGGCAGTAAAAAGGACCCTCACCCGTGTTGCTCCAATATCATTAAATAAGCACTTCCAAACCCCTAACTTGGGGTGGAAAAAAAGTTTATTTTCTTTTAGTAATTGTAATAAAGCATCTTTTAATAAGATGTGTGCATTTGTATATCTTTACCATCGTGTCTATGGAGTCCTGGTGGGGTGGTGGTTAAGTATATGGCTGCTAACTGTAAGGTCAGTGCTTCAAAACTACCAACTGCACCTTGGGACAACGATAGGGCTTTCTACTCCCGTAAAGAGTTAGTTCTCGTGAAACCCACAGGGACAGTTCGACTGGGTCTCTGTGAGTGGGCAGGGAGGAGGGAGAGCAGGAAGTCTTGGTGCACACACAGCGTGTCCGATTACAAAGCCTGATTCTGAGCACGAGCCCAGCCAGGCACCGTGCCCAGAGGCCCTCGGGATGGCGGAGCCGTCAGTCACGTTGTCCCTCCTCCCCAGATCAGAAGCAAAGAAAACCACCTCACAGGTCAGAGAACACAGGGAGCTGCGCAACGTTCGGGGAACAATTCCATGGCCTTTTCATTTCCATTTTTCTATGAAATTCTTAAAGAATAACCAAACCGCCCCCCATCCCCATCTCTTCCAGCAAGCAACAACACAATCATTTTGCTGCTCTCACAAAAGGGGATCGTTACAGTTGCTTTTGTTGATTAAAACACACCTTCCTTGGTATTGCACTAATTCTGACTTGCTGAGACCCTGTACCTGCCCTTGTGCCAGGGTTCCTAAGGCTGTTACTCTTTAAGGATGCACAGAGCCTCATCTTTCTTCCCCAGAGTAGCTGGTGGGTCCGAACTGCTGACCTTGTGGTCACCTATGCCATCTATGATGCCACTAGGGCGTCTTTTTCTTTCTTTCTTAATAAACGTATTAAAAGTAGGTGCTCCCTGGCCCAAATAATTTTTTTTTAATAAAGCAAACACAATAAACCCAATCTTTCCAGGAGGCTGCTTTGTGGGCGGGGCCGACCACCCTATGTGCTCCATCCTAACTGCAAAGGCTCAAAGGTGAGGGGGAAAGACGGCAAACCTTCAGCGCCAGGCTGGAGAAGGTGTTCGAGACGTTGCACTTGAAGCTCAGCTGCTTATCCAGGCTCCCGTCCGGATCCCGGCGGCCGTAGTCCGAGAGGCCCGTGCGGTCAGGGGTCCCCACCTTCTGGAAGACGGAGCAGGTCATCCCGGTGAAGCCCGCGGCCTTGATGGCGTACGCCTCCAGTGCGATACTGGGTGAAGACTTCAAAAGTCAATCAGACAGAAGTTACGAGAGATGGACAGCGGGAGGAAAGCGTTCTCCACCGGCTCTGCCCTCACAGAGCCCCGCAGTGGCACATGGAAGACAGCCCCCAGTTTCGGGCTGAATGGAAATGCTCGGTGGGTCAGTAAGGGCAAATACAGCCTAAACTGAGCAGGATGCTCACTCACAGAGGGAGGAGCGCAGATATGGAGAGAGTGTGGAAGGAAACACCACAAGGTACCCCCAAACCAGCTGACAGGAAGTCACAAGTTAACAGTGGGGCGTTTAATTTTAAAAAAAAAAAAGGGCAGAGAAATCAGTGGGCTGATATTATCTTACTGAAGGTGGAAACGAAAGGTTAGTATGCATTTAAAAAACAAAAACAATAAAGACTGGATTCTGATTCATGACAATCTAATAGGGCCAAGTAGAACCATCTGTGGGTTTCCCAAGGCTGTGAATCTTTGTGGGAGCAGACGGCCCATCTTTCTCCCATGCAGTGGTAGGTGGGAAGCACCCCCACACTCTGCTGGCAGTAGAGTGCTGAACGACTTTAACACCGGGGCTCTTTACAGTGCAAACCTTAACCATAGCCTGCTTCCAGGGAGTGAATTCACACTCACTGGGATCCTACAAGGCCCATAAATCTCGATGGGAGTAGACAGCCTCATCTTTTCCCCCCAGAGCATCTGATAGGCTCAAACTGCTGACCTTGAGGTTAGCAGCCACACTGTCAACCCAGGACGCCTATATGGCTCCTTGAAGTTAGGGTTATGGGAAAATCCACTTTACAGTCACTTCATGCTAAATGCATGTTCTCCTCCAGCAGGGAGATTAGGTTAAGGATCTGTAGTAAGTTTTGTTGCAAAAAAAAAAAAAACCAACGTGACACAGACT